TTCATCATCATCATCATCATCAGTGCCAGCAATTGCAAATGAAGAAGGTAACTAATTAAGCCTTGTCGTAGAATGTAGTAATTTATACTAATATTATTTCATATGATTATGTTATGTTTGTTGATCTTCTTCTATCTATTTTACGTGGCCTTTTCTTGCTTTAGGGGAGTTGACATTTAAGCTATCATGATACTCATGTGGCTGTATCTAATTGTTGATCTAATAGATTGGGCCTAATACCATTCTCCAGTATTTTTAGTTCAAGTGTATATATGCCAGGTTCAATTTTTATTTGAATGGATGATTACTGTGTTTTTACTCTTTCAAGTTTCATGTGACTAATAGCGTTTGGTAACGTTTACATTTTTGATTTATGTTTACAAAAATTTTATAAACTGGTTTTTGTTTATTTTGACACCTATAAAGTTGTTCTTAGCTGGATTTTAATTTATTCAGTTTTAGTTCTTACTAAAAAATGCTCCATTTAGATTGATATATAAATCTTGGTATTTCTCTCTATTCAATTTTGTGTACGTAGGGCATTCTCTTTTTATTTTATTTTTCTGTGTGAAAAAGAGGGACAAAAATGTAATTACAAGCAGGGATTCAAGTTCTTATATCACTGTATAAAATTCAAAAAAAGAAGTAGACAGACACTTCTTTCACCATTGGAGTAAATATATGCTTGGTTGTGTCTTTCTGTGTGTCTGTCTTTGAAGAATAAAACCTTTCAATTTTGAGTAGTTATTATTCCTGCCTTTATTGATTGATCAGTCCCGGGGTTTGCATTTTTTTTTGAACAGTGAGCATCTTGATTCTGTTCTTGATGTTGTGAGGAAGGAGATTGAGAATTGTGATTGCTTGCAAGGTAAAGGTATTTTCAAATTCTTACATGGTTTTTGTTTTTTTTTGGTGCTAAATTACCTTTCCATTGTTTCTAAGATGATTTTGGCTGCTGAAACTGATGCCTTTAATTTATCACCTATTATTACCTTGAAGATTTATTTGTTAGCTTGGTAGTAATTTTATGATCTCACAATAGTAGGACCTTTATTTCTTGTTCTAAATTCCAAGATCACATGTTGAAATTGGAAGCATTACTTGTAGATGTCAATTTTGTTACCCACATCCCTAATTGATCTTTTACATTATGTTATGTTTGTTGCACTGAATTACATGCCTTACCCACCACCTGGAATAAGACCTGGAACTCCTCCAGACTTGAGGCACTGGCCAGCGATGGTGTCTCCTTTTTGTAAATGGAACTGTGCATGTCATTATGCTCAACCTTCCAGTTTTGGTCGCAGGTTTGTTTTAGTGCATCCATCTATTCCATTGTGTTCTGTTTGTTGCACTGAATTACCTGCCTTAGCAACCACCAGGCAATAAGACCCTCCGGAATTACTCAGACTCGAGGCACCCTGACTGTGAGGGTGTCTCTTTTTCTATGTTGCAAAAGGGTATGTCATTGTGCTGTTGGTTCCTTGGGCCTTGTTCTTTGACAAAACTATATTATTGTGCCAGGGTAACACTGTAATGGAGGGTGAGGCACCTCCTAAATCATGTGAGGTTTTTGCTTGACATTATTAGGAAAACCTATAATGTGGTGGTCATGTTCCTAATAATTTCCTGATTTTGTGAGTCTGGACAGATAGCAAGGAGGTGACCTATTAAGTTGGGGTTACCCTGGCAGAATAATTTAATTTTGAGATAGTAAGGACGCAACTTGGGCAGGCTTTTAAGAGTCAATCTGAGAATTTTTTGTTTTTTCTGTTTTTTTGTTTTTTTTTTTTTCAGGGAGAAATTTGAAAACTTTTAGGGAGACTATGGATGTGTTTGGTTTGTGTTTGTAGAGTAGTTTTTGAGATAAAAAGTACGAAAACTTGTTTGGTTTGCCTTTTTTTAGAAATTGTTTTGGAAAATTGTTTTGAAGAGAGTTTTAAAAAAAAGTGATTGATTTGATGTGTATGAGAGAGAGTGATTTTGAAAGTAGGTAATCAAATAAAATTTTGAGATTTTTTTTGAAAAAATTTGTTTAGTTTGGTTACTCTTAAAAATTTGTTTGTAGAGAATTTTTTTCAAAAATTTTTCTGAAAAACAAACCAAACAAGCCCTATAATTTTAAATTTGGTTTTTTTTCAATTTGTGTGACCTGAATTTTTTTGTTAATATATATCAACTATATATAATAAACATAAAATATTATAATTTTTTGGTACACAACTCATAATTTTTTGTTATTATGTTTTTTTTTCCCTAATATATATATATATATATACGAAGACATTAGTTTAGGACAACTTATTGTTTTTAAATTTGGGCACATTGAATTAAAACTCGGGATTGACTTGGCAAAAAAATGACAAGACTACCCATCAAGTTGCAATCATGGGTTGTGTAAATTGTTGTGTAGATTTCTAAGTATACGTGATATGTGAAAAATAAGTGTTCAGCTGCATATGGTGATAGTGAAATTTATGTTCGTTTCGATTTGTTTGTGGCCTCCACCGGTTGATCAGTTTACACGCAAAGACAAAACAATCATTTGTCATCTCCGTTTTGGTTAAGTAGTTATGGTCCACATTTTTCCAAATTAAGTAGTAATACTAGTAGTCATCGTCATCCCAGTTGCTGTTGAATATTCTGGCAGTCTTGCTTTCAACATGTTGTTTCGCTCCTTTCAACTTCTATATATATATATATGTGTATCAGTCTAAACAAGTGGCTCTCTATTTCCATCTTCTCCTTGAAGAGAGATGCATGGTACAACAAAGCCAAGCCAAGGAGGATGTCAAGATAAGGTGAGAATTTTTGTTACAATATGTTGATGGGGATGTGAATCATAGAGGGAATTAGTTGAGGGGTGCAATTTGGACAAGTCCAAATCTGAAGAACCGAAGTTTAGCCTGAAAAATGTAGCTTGGCTTTATAAATTCAAATTAGGAATTTTCACAATTTGAATAATTTGAAATCTATTGTTAGTATATATAATATATAATAACCATCAAAGTATGAATTACTGACTATTTAATTATTGTGAAATATTTTTTTTTTTGTTTTTTTGTTAATAATTAGATTATTACGTAGATTGAAGTTTTTCATATATTTCAACTTGAAGTCTCACACTGGCATCTAAGTGCCCACCAAGGCCACTTGGGATGTTGATATACATTAGTTTAGGACAACCAAATATAGTTTTTATTTATTTTATTTATTTTTTAAATTTTGGAATTTGGGCAAGGAGAGCTAAGTTTGAATTTTTTGAATTAAATTTAAGCTTGGGCTTGGGAAAATAGTTTAGGCAAAAATTGGGAAACAATTTTGTTACCCACATTCCTAATTGATCTTTCTATTGGGATGGGATCTTTGGAACTTGGGTTGGTAGAGTTTTGAAACTTATTTGTACATGGAACTAGATATCAGACTTGCTGCCTTGCAATTGTAATGATTAATTTGAACATTTGATTAGGTGGTGTTAGTTATGCCATTTTTATTTTTTGAATTGTAGGCATACAGGAAAGATTCCAATTCATGGTGATGCTTCTGCCAAAGCCACTTTATATAGGGATAGATTTCTCTTGTTGCTCCAGAGGCTTTCTTGTGATCAGCATTTCTAAGCCTGCATTTGATACTGAAAGGTCTCAGTTCGGCAGTTGTGAGGTAACTTGCGTCTCTGTCTTGCACAAAAACATATTGAGATTGGAGACACATACGTTAATTAAACAAAGTGTGCTTATTTATGTGTATATGTTGGGCAGATATCTCCAATTCAGAGTCTCATTGGGCTAACAGGGAGAAGATGGGTCATGGGCGTTGTATGTCAGTCAGAGGATGGCCATTTCTACTTGGAAGACCCCTCACTAGAGCAGTTGAAATCAATTTGTCTAATGCAATATTTTCTTCACGTTTATATTTTTCCCTTTCGAGAGACTTATTGTCTATTTTGAATGCTTGGATTTTGGTTGCCCTATAATCTCCAAAAACGAAAGTTCTCATCGTAAGCCTTTTTAAATAATGAAAAATAATGCATGAATGTTGAGATTTTTGCAAATACGTCTTTACGTTTATTGTATATAATATTTGCATGTATATATGTTTGTAGGTTTTTTTTTTTTTTTGCGACGGTAAGAAGTTGGTCACTAATACATTGTAGGTTTTTTTTAACTCTTTTGTGACGGCAAAATATCAGTCGCTATAAGTAGGTTAGGCGGTCGCGAATAGTTTGCCACTGTTATTTTGCGATCGCAAAAAGTATTTGCAACTTTCACATTCGCGACCTTCATTTGCCTGCATGGGCCGTCACAAAAAGTCTTTTGCGATGATTTTTTTATTATTTGTGATAGCTTGTAGCGGTCGCAAAAAGTTTTTGTTTTGGTAGTGCAACTTACCGTTTTCAAATGGTATCTATCTAATGTTGTGTTAAGGAAGTTGGAAATGTTTTTTTAATTAAAACACACTTTCAAAATTCCATTTAATTGTGTTAAAAATCAGAACAATTTCAAGTGGCATCCAAACTATATTGGTGACTTCAAATGATTATAAAATGTGATCTTTTTTTTTTAGTTTTTTGTGGTTGATTTGATCCGGAACACTTTTGAACTGATTGTGAGAGAATTTGTTTGTGTAAAAGTATGCAAATGAGGAATTTTTACTGTAATGTACCGATCAAGGTGTGGATAGCATTTACGTTTTTTCTTTTTTTCTTTTTAATTTGTTTTTTAAATTTATTTAAGGGGTTATTTTAATTATGTTTTTTAAACAGAGTGTTTACCAATTATATTTTTTAATTAACAGAACATTATTTGAATTTATTTTTCGCTTGTAGTGTTTACATTCTAGTAAAAAACTTATATTAGTAATAACGTTTTTTATGCTTTTTTTAATTGTCATTACTATTTTATGTTTTAACGTAGTTTATAAATTATATTTGTTCATACACTAGTTATTTAATTTTGGGTTTAAAAAAAAACTAGGGCAAATTTTACTTTACTTGTGGTATCATCAATGTGCAGATTATCATCAATCATTTTGAAATAGTTGCATAATTTTTTTGTAATTTGTTGATTGAACTGTATTCACCGTGTTTAGTTTCAATTTTCTGAATTCAATTTTTTAAAAATTGAGTTTTTTATTTTTTTATTTTTAGTGAATATTTTTTAAATTTTAAACAATTTTTTTTACCTTTTTAGATGTTTCTTATTTATATGTATCTAAAAAGTAAAATATTTGTAAAAAAATATTATATTTTTAAAGTGTATTCATGTTAGGTATATATAAAAAATTGCTTAAAATATTTTTAAAAAATTCAATGAACAAAAAAATACGGAAAATTAAAAATTTTAATTTTTTAAAAAGTGAATTCAAAAAATTCAAATCAAACAAGTTAGGTATTTCATCAAGTTAATAGTAAAAACATTTGTTAAAAATGGTGAGAATGTTCATGATTTGCACAGTGAGAGTAACCTATGTACAAGAGTATTTTAGTGTTTTCACCCGAGCTATTAATAGATTGAACGAGGTGCACTTTAGTACGAAAAATACGTGAGTTATGTGCTTATTTTCAAATGATAGGAGTTATGTGCACATGAGCCACAATTTGGGTAAAGTGAAATTTGTTCAAAAAACTAATCAGGTCAAAGAGGCGATTCTATAGCTTGGAAATAGAAAATAATAAAAATTTTAATTTGAATGATAGCTAGTTGACATTGGATAGATAGATAAGCATATATGTGACGTTGATAGATATGTGAAATAGTAGACGAGTAACTTTTAAATTGTTATTGTCCTCAGTGACTTCAAAATATTAGGATTGAGGAATGTTGTCTAAAAAATTTTAAAATTAGATTTATCTGTTGATTGACTTTTTAGATAAATGAATTTTAGTGAAATTATGAAGTCTCGTTTGTTAACTACATATTTTAGCTAAAAATCGCTATAAGTTATCATATCATTCTCTCTTTTTTTTATGTATATATTTTTTAAAACGTTTTATGTGAAATTATGATGAAATAAAATGCTTCATTATTACCGTATGCCATTTAATGCACGTCTCCTAAAACAAATTAGTTTTCAAACATGACAAAACTATGGAACAAAGAGTTTTAAAACGTTAAAAGCATTCACACTTGCAATAAAACGTTTTTCGCTGTAAATCTAGAGACATAATATTAGAAAGTCATAACAAAAAAAATATTTCAACAAATGTCCCCAACCCATGAAAAAAATTTCACTATACACACCCTTTCTAAATGCGCCTTCTAATTTATATTAGGATAAATTATAAAATCATGAGCAACATTGAGATAATAATAATTTTATGAAATAAATTTAACCATAAAAAAATTACATATTCATTATTAATAACAACAAATCAAAATTCTATAATAGTGTGGAATAGCTCGATGTGGGATGATGACGTAAGTTTGCAATTCTAACACAAAAAATTATGGATCAAAATTCCTAATTTTAAAAAATAAAAACACATCATTTATAGTACAAATTATTATAAAATCTATTTAATTTTTATTTGACAGAAAAATATTAAAGAGATGACATTACTTATAAATTATGTGTTTTGAAAGAAAATTATTAAACAATCTTGGAATACCATATGGCGTTGCCTACGTGATGCTCAAAGCATAGAAAATCACAAATTACACTGCGTGGTATGTCAACTATTTGAAAATAATAAGTTCATTATATCCAATTTATAATATTTTTCGCTACACTATTGATTTAAACTACTACATAAACAATACTACATAGTATTCCCAAAGTATCAAATAACTACTTATTGTAAACAATACAATAAACCTTTAGCCAAAAAATATTTTAAGAAAAAAGGAAAATACATTTTATACATGACAATAATAAAAAAAAAATCAAAACTGAGAGAAGGCACATGACCCCCTGGCTGGCCTTGTTGTGCCTCCGCCCTTAATCCTACCTAATATTATATCTAATTAGTGTTCTTACCAGTATTGAAAGCAATATGCCATGCAAAATCTAGTCAAATCATGAAAATTGTTTCTGCAAAAAAATAAAAAAAAGGGGGACAATTCCTAATCAGTGAGAATCGGAAAAATTATTTACAAAAACATGATAAACATTATAAATATTAATAATTAGAATTATAAACTTTATACTCTTGTAAATAATTTTTCTAATCCTCACTTATCAGTATTCCCCCAAAAAAATTATGAAAAACAAATTATTTTCTTGGAAACATCAAAAAAGTTATTTTGAATTTTCAAAATTGTTATAGTACAAATAAAAACAAATTGATGTTTTCCATCTTTTCATTATTTTGTTTTTGAAAAGATGAAAACATGAAAACTGAAAACACAACCAAACGCAAAAATCAAGAAGAAGAAAAAAGGGATGGAAATGGCAGACGCACAAAGGAATTCTCCAGAAAAGTCCATCTCCTTCCACCACGTCTATTAGTAAATAATTTTTACAAAGGAATTATTTATGTGCTTATTAATAAGCACAAAGGATAAACTTTATATCAATAAGCACATTAACGCCAGCAAAGTTAAAAATCCCATGCACTTAACTGGAACAATAATACATATAACCATATTTATGTAAAAACAGTAAATCACTTGAAAGGTTTCAAGTTTCGCAAATAGAATTATTGCAGGACAAGAACCAGTTATCATCCTCTAAATCATGGTGGATTGATTCCTTGTCATACGTCACTTGCGTAAACGCCTGGACTGATTCATAATCGTACGGCATAGAGTAAATGCCTTCATGAAGAGAATGAAATGTGGAACCCATAGTTGAGCACTGGTTCGCATCTTAACAACATCACCTTCCAGACTGAAATGGAAAACATTGAAAGATTAGCCAAAGTTCAAATATAAAACATCTATCTTTGACAATCAGTTGAGAAATTGGGTACTTGTATGAATCATGGAAACTGAATCCTGCAATTCTGCTTATATTACTTTTGAAATGGCTTCACCCTAGTTCAAGTCTCTCCTATTGTTTTAATGGTGCATTTTCTCATTCTTCCTCCTCTCATGACAAAGAATACTATGCATGACAAGCATTTCAAATCACCCATTGAGGCGATTCACCATCACTTCAGGAATCTACCTGCTGGCCAAAGTAGAGATTATTGCATAAGTAACCATGAAACGGTGTTTGTTAATAAACAGGCCATTTGGACTGAGGATTAAACAAACCAAGCTCCAGTCTTCAGGCTATTATGCCAATGATGGTGCCTATTATTTAAACAAACCAAATAAAAGGATCGCTCATCCTCCAGGCTCCAGTCTAATGATAAACAATGAGCCTCCAATCTATCTATATGCCAATATGTTGGTCTCGAGGATTTGGTTATAAGACAAAAATATCTGGTCTGGAAGCATCTCAAAGCTTTTCC